AAGGCTGGCCATAGCTATCTCTGTCAAGGCCGGGTAGCTGGCTATGGCTGTGAACTCCTGTTTTTCTGATTCCTGCAGAATGGCGTTTCTAAGGCCAAGTTATTGGGGGGGCATAACATCGGCCCAACGCCCCATATCCTCATAATGGAGCGGGGGTCTTTCACTTGGACCAGTCCTGACTAGTTTGACTAGTTTTTTGTTCCCTTATCTGGCAACTGTGACCACAGTTGCCTGTCTCAGACCTGATCTGGTGTTTAAGAGGTCCAAGGTCTTTGTATCTAAAAAGTCTGATGTTACAAGACATTTGTTTACACTATGCAAAGATATGTCACCTGATTGGTTTAATAAAAAGCTAAATGGCCAGTAGCTAGGCAGGAGGTATAAGCAGGACTTCTGGACAAAGAGAGCTCTCGAAAGAAGAAAGGGGAAGTCACCAGCTGGACACAGAGAAAGCAGGACATGCAGAAGAGGTAAAAGCCACGAGCCCATGGCAGCATGTAGATTAACAGAAATGGGTTAATTTAAGTAATAAGAGCTAGTTAGAAACAAGCCTAAGCTAAGGCCAAGCTTTCATAATTAATAATACGTCTCTGTGTCATGGTTTGGGAGCTGGCTGGCAGGACAGAGAAAGACTTGTTACAGCCTGACACATGCATAGTTCAAACATGATGTTATTCTGAGTCATTTTTTCCTTAGGCCCTGGGCCTGCAAATCTCTCAAGGACTAAAAAAATCTAGAGTTGTTCAGAACCAACCCTGAAGGATCCAGATCTAAGGAGGTGTGCAGTGGGGCCTGGCATCTGCAGCATAAGATGCCCCCTAGTGGCTGTGATGCATAGGCTTTGGAGAACTATCTGGGACCCACTAGGGCACCCACACTAGAATTACTACCCAGTCCTTGGCTAGCCACACTGTTTCGGGGGTAGGACACCTGACTTAGGACATCCAACTGGTCCTTCTAGATGCAGCCCTCTCCCTACAGAGACTATTACTAGATCATCCAATGGCTAGCCTGAAACTAGCTGTCAGTAACTTTGGGATTTTGTGGATGAAAAGATAAAAAGGTCATGTGGAGAGGCTGAATGCCTTCACAGAAACCCCTAAGTAGTCTGTTCTCATGAAGGCTTTACACATTATTAATTCCATTTAATTTAGGACTGTTCTTCAGAATAATTAGCATTAAAAGCATCTCATCCTTCATTTCCAACCATTAAAGACATGATTTGCCCAAGGTCACACTGTCAGCAGAAGGGGACTTAGGAACCCAGGTTCCACGCCAATCTTCACATCAATGAAGTTTGTCCACAGCGCCAAGGACAAAGGGGCTCTTGAGCCTGTCCTGGCTCTGTAACAGAGTAAGAGTGGCCTGGGGCTCATGTATCAATGGATGCTAAACATCTTCACTGAAGCAACCACACATGTAAATGAAACACAAGGGCCTCACAGGGTCTGCCTCACAGGAACATGAGCTTCATGAATGGCTATCTTGTGATGTCCTCTGCCTGGGGTCTGATAGGCACTTGGTAACCCCTGTTTCTCTAGGAGAATCCAAGGGCTTGGAATTCCCCATTTGTTGCCCCCACACACCATTGTAAATAGACTGGAGCTAAGCACATATTCCGCAGGGTGAGTGAACAATCTTTTCTGGATTGTCCTAGGCTAGACAGAGCCACTGCTCATGTGGCTACACTCTTCCCTGCAATAAGCTAAGGCTCAAAGTTTAGGCCTAAGCCACTAAGCCAGGAAATGGTGCCCACTAGTGGTGCCAAGATGGGTGACCCCTTCTGCTTTGCTCAAGTACATAATACCTGCCTATCTCCCAGATACAGCCCTTCTGTGAATCCACCTGCCTCTGGCAACTGCCCCGGGTAGATCCTCCCCTGCCTACCCTCTTCTAGTACACCATTATTTCTTTGTATTGATCCAAGCACAAATACTGGACATGACCCAATCCTGTCTTGGGAAGGCTCTTATTTTGTAAGCACAGCATTCCAGCAATTTTCCCTGGCCATTCCTGCAGGGGCTGGCTATCCACAGGGCACTTGATCACATACCAGTTGCTGATGTCTCTCCCAGAGGTCCCCTGGGGGTGACAGGACAACAGAGTCCTCAGCCCTGGGAGAGCACCTCTACCATTTTAATGGCTTAGTGTCACTCGTCTTCATATGATCCTAAGAGATTAATTACATGTATGTTTCCTTTAATACTACCCTCATCAACATTTCTAAGCAAACTCCACAATCTACAGGACTCACATTCTGCTAACATGTTTAAAAAAACAGAAATTCAATGAACAAAAACAATAACAAAATAATGAAACTGAACTTGAACTATGGCTCAGTTGGTAAAGTGCTTGCTATATAAGCAGGAGCATGAGGACCTGAGGTTGATTCCCCAGAACTCACGTAAAAAGCCAGATATAGCAGCAGCACATGCCAATAATCCCAGCATAGGGGTTCCCTGGAGCTTGCTGGCCAGCTAATTCAGCCTAATTGAATTGGCAAGTTATAGGTTCACTGAGAGAGAGTCTAAAAAAAATAAGGTGAAGAGTAAGTGAGGAAGACACCTGATACCAACATCTGGCCTCCATTCATTTGTGTGATACTCACCCCCAACACATACACACAACTCAAAACAAAACAAAAAACTAACATTATGTGGGAGACCTGCTCCCACTTTTTAAAGGGTTCCTATGAGGAGGAGAGAGGGATAAGAAAATATTAGATAGAAAGTTAGCAAAGAGGAGGAACACAGGATAGCCTTGGGAGGACCTGAATCAATACCCAACAGCCTCTTCTGTCTCGTCAAAAGGGCTTTTTATAACAATGCCAAGGGGGCAGGACAGAAGACCTCCCCCTTGCTAGATCAAAGCACACTGTATAGCCAAGTGTAGACCCTTCCAAACATCTGGTAACCACGCCCGTGATCTCATCATCCCCTTAAGCAGCCCTGCTGGGTAAAGCAAGCTCAGATTCTCAGACTCTTTAAGTTCTCACTAGGAAACCTCTGTGGATCTCCACACATTATATCTTAAAGGAAGTTACCCTAAGCTGCAAACATGACTGGAAACTTCATTGTGTGAACACTTGTCACATTGTGACTTTTAGCAGCTACCACCCAGGACAACCCAGGACCCCTGTGCCGGTCCCTTAATGACTAGTTTTCACAGCCCCATTACCTCATTAACTTGAACAGATAGATCTGCCTTACCTTGGCCAGGGCAGCATAAGCAAGTCCAAGAATTCCATTCCATTTAATCCCAGGCAAAAAGAAATTCTCAGACTCCAAAATAGTGGCAATGTTGACCAGGAAAGAGCTGTTGAAGCCTTTTGGGATGGTAACAATGTCCTCACCAACAAAGCCAGTCCAGCTTCCCTGTGTGTACTTCACAGTGACATCAAAGCCCTTGGGGTGATATGTGCTGGATCTGCAAGAGAAAGGAAAAGTTTGTGGTGTTCTGTCTATAGGCCTCTGCTCTTTGAACCACAACTGTGGCACAGCCAATCACCATGGTTTACAGTGGTCCTCTACAGTCCATAGGAAGTGATGCTCAGTAGAAAGCAGTATCCATGTTGACTAAGGCATCATTCTCATAAATAATATTAAGCCTCCGAGTCAATTATGTATAAGCGGCTGCTGGGTATTTGGGGACAGGCAGGAGAGAAATTTCCGTCTACATTCATCTTCAAGTCCATCATCCACAGGGTGCTCCTAGTTTGTCTGCTTTCTGCCCACATTGTCAACTTCAACACTGTTGGGAGCCTCTTACTGACCACCTCTTCCCTGAAAGGAAACCATCCAGCCTGGTGTCAATTAGCCAGCAACATGGCTCCATCACCATGTCAAACTGACTGAAGAGAGAATAGAAGCAAACAGGTCAAGTTCAGAAATGCCCGCAGAATGACTTAGCACAGGAGTCGGCACACCTTTTCTATGAAGGGTCTATAAAGTAATGTTCTTGGATTTGCTCACCTTATAATCTTGGTAGCAGGTACTGAGCTGTGGTGCTGTATGAAGGGAATGGCCATAGACCATACAGAAGCAAATGTGTGTGGATGTGCCCCAATAAAACTTTATTTATAAAAACAGTAGCTAGTCAGATTTGGCCCACTGACTACAATGGTGGACCCTTTGAACTAACTAGCAGATCAGCTGTTATCCCCCAACACTTCCCCAAGCTGAGCTTTGAACAGTGTTTTATTTTCATCTCATCTAGGCTTCAGCATGTTCCTTGGAATAAGAACCTGAGCTGGCATCACATCTACACAGCATGTCTTTGGGTTTCCTGCAGCTGCCTTACATGGGTAGTTCCATGCCACTTGCAGAGAACAAAAAGGCAGTAAGAATTACAGTACCACGGTCCACAAACAAGCTCACTCACTCACTACCTGCATTATTCTGGAACAAGCAAATTGAATTGTGTGCTTTAGTTCCCTAATATTCCAGGATAAACCAGGACTGTACCTCCTGAGACTACCTATGCAGACTGAAAAGGTTAATCTGTGACAAATTTAGAACAAAATCCTGGCTCCCAACAAGTCTGCAACAAAACAGCTACAATTAGTGTAATTATCAAAGGGATTCCTAGCTTTCTCCAATCTATAAGAAAACTCAATCTATGAGAAAACTCAATCTATGAGAAAACCCACGGCTGTTCTAGAAAATACACCTATAGGATGATATCCCCGAGTATCCTAAACTTAAAGTCTGACTGCCTCTTAAAAAGGGGGCAACCATTCCTGATGCAGAAGATAACTCGACTATGCGGGGAGAGGCAGAAGTGTTGTTTCAGATCCCTGGGCAACAGGCTTCTAAATGGTTCAATGCTGTGATCTGGACCAGCACCGTCCAACAGAACCTGCTCTGATAATGGTGCTGATCCATGTCTCTCTCATTCATTATGGAAGCCACATGCAGCTACTGGAATGTGAAGGTGCCAGAAGGCTGAACTTTTATTTCATTTCATTTAGCACTAATTATTTTAAACAGCTCCACATGATCAGTGGCCACCCCTGTAGAAAACATTTTCTGAGAGAATGGAGGAAAACTCTAAATTATAAGCTCACCCTTCTTTGGGGCTCCTTTATGAATCAGAAAGAGTAAGGGGAAGCCCGGGCAGCATCATGAGCAGCCCTGCAGGTTATTAGCACATCATCTCCAGCACTTTAAAGTGATCTCTGCATCTTCATTTGCTAACATCCTACTTTTCTGACACTGGGTTTCTGCTCTCACGTGCTTTTCACATTAATCACGTCAGGAGAAAATGCTGGATGGGCTTCTCACTTGCAAGGCCTCTATTCCAGATGCTCAGGCATGGCAAACAGTCAGGGATGTGGGTGGCCAGGAATGAGTCTTCTCACAGCAATAAAAACACTTTGAATGAGATGTAGAAGACATTCTGCCTCTGTTCAGAGAGTTCAGAGAAAGCAGGACTAAAGAAGAGAGCAGTTGAAGCCAAGAACAGAACTTCAGTACATCTTGTTTCAAGAGAAAGCCACCATTGTTTCTAGAGAACATGGAAAAGGCGGAGTTGCTGACTTCAAAGGCGAGTCTTGCATCAGCTCTGGTTCTCCTGAGGGACCCTACCCAGCATATGCAGAGGCTCCTAAAGCCTTTTTCATAATATTTCTGTGCACATTGCAGAGTTTGGCACCAGTGGACTTGGCGATTTAGACCTTGTGACTTGTCAATGATTTCAGAAGTCACCAGATATGAATGGATGGGAACCTTGAGCTTGGCCTGGTGGTTCAAGCTCCCAGGCTCCAAAGAAGCCAGCCCCTGATGGACAGGTCAACAAGACAGACAGTCTTGAAAAGTTATCTGAGCAACCAAGAGAAAGAACTGTCCCTACTATATGTGAAGGCATCTGTGTGTCCCTCTGACCTCTTTAAAGACATCACCAGGTGGTCCTTCAGTTCCCTAAGCTCACTTACAGGCATTCTTGCACAAAATGAATTGGTTCATTGCTTCAGTGTTTCTGTGGGTTTCGGCCCAGATGGAGTGCAGGAGTGAGGCAACGTTAATAGTCAAGCATGCTTGGGCTCCTGAATGACAGAGGCTAAGTGAGGTACATATGGGATCTTTCACCAAGCCAGTTTCTTGAAGGCCATTTTATTGGCTGAAAAGAAAATGCATTTGAAAAACATGAAGCCCTTTCCCTGCTGCTGCATAGTTATACACTGGGGCATCCAACACCTGCAGAGAGCTCATGACGGGGACAAGTCACACAAATGACTCACCGTGGTCCCTCACCTTCCATAAATCAAAGAGATCTTCTCAAAGAACCCTGAGCCAAGTCTCCAATTACTGCACAGTGCTTCAGGAAGCACAAAACCTGAACGTCTGAAGGCTGGGGACTTGAATCAGGCTGCCATGCCCAACCAGAAGCCTTATTATAACGAAGAAATCAGAGGACCAAGTCGATACTCAAACATTGCAGGGCAGGGGGCCACATCTCCACAAAGGCACCTTTGTCAGAGATCCAGAAGGAAAGAGACTGTTCTCTGGCTTCCATCAGATACAGCGGTTAAAAAAACCTCACCACAGCCAACATCAGCAAAAGTACTAGACAAATGATAATTTACATGGAGAGCAAATATTCTTTATAATAATTATGTCTTCATTGACTCTTAAGTACAATTTCCCACCAATCTCAGTCCTCACCGAGGAGAAGGCAGAAATGGCAGACAGAGCACAGAGGGAAGTCTTGCTTTTCCTAGACCTGGGTGTGTTCTGCTGTTCCTCTTTTATTTACTTAAAAGCGGGGCGGGGGGGGGGGGGGGGGGGGGGGGGGGCGGGGGGTAGATCTGAGGTGGCAGAGCTGAGGGGGTGTCTATGTTCTTTTGTGGGCTTAGCAGGGAGGAAGGCTGACCAGTCACAGCCAACAGTGCAAAGCCCAGGAGTTCCTGTTGACTCAGATGAAGGCAGGCCTGAGAAGCCCAGCCTACTGCACAGGATAAAGGGAATTTCTGCCCACCTCCCACACACCTGGCTAGAAGCACAAAGTTCACCTGAAGGAGGAGCACAAAGCAGGAAAAAAAAAAGAGAGACCTGCTGGAGCCTAAGTGAGAACCACAGTTCATCCTAACAACAAACACAGCAGGAGGCCCGTGAGAAAGCTGCCATCCTGTCTGCAACTGAGTCATGAACACTGAGTGAGAGTACACAGCATCAGCACCAGTAACTTTTATTTACCCTGGCACATTTCAACAACTGCATGGTCTTGTCAAAGGATGCCTGGGTGCACTTTGGCCCTGATGGAGCTGAGAAATGAAGCTGCCAAGGGGCTGCCGGATAGTTGCCTCCTGGCTAGACATTGCCTTTATGGTGCACCATAAGCATCTATCTGTCCACATCACCCTGACTCATGCCAGCTCCAGCATTACAGCTTCCTTCTTGTGACTCTTATGCCAACAGATGTGTGACAAGGAAAGAACTCCTGCACTGCTGGGAGGGTGGGCTATGCACCTGCCTCAGATTTGTGAGCCTGGACTTCCTAGTCTGCGAGGGGAGTGGGTCTCGGAAGGGAAGGTGCTGCCCTGTTTTGGGCTATGCCTGGAATGGTGCAATGCTAGAAGAGGCAGGACATCTCTTAAAAAACCCAGAACCATCCACCTGCCACAGGGCTTCCTCAAGTCCCCTGGCATGCATGTGGGTGGAAAGCTATCTGTGTGAGCCAGGGCACCTCCCTTTCTCATTCACCCCAAGTATCATGGGCAGATTTAACATGCATTGGAGCATTAACTAATACATGAATGGAAGGCAGTTGACACTGTATTTTTAACTCATGAAAATCTTCTTCATTTTAGAAAATCTCATCAACTACCAAAGGAAACCAGGTAACCAGTTTAAACCAGTTGCCCAAATGGCCTCCACTGGTTCTGTGTCACATTGGGCCTGCATCCACACTGGTGTGCAGCCTCCAGCATCCTCTGCATGCCTCTCATTGGACATGCTCATATCATGTACTGAGTACTTTACTCATATCACCTCATTCAGGCTTGGTGTAGTGTGCCCCCCACTCCCCAATACTTGAGACCAGAAGTATTTCAGATTAAGTTTTTCTGGAATGTTTGCATATACATAATGAGATACCTGGGGAAGGAGACCTACTCCTAAATGAAAACTTGATTTGTGACACACACACACACACACACACACACACACACACACACACACGCGCGCGCGCGCGCGCGCGCGCGCGCACGCACGCACGCACGCACGCACGCACGCACGCACGCACGCACGTGCGCCTGCTCAAAGCATTTCAGGTTTGGGGGTATTTCAGGTTTTGGGATCAGATATGCAACATCTGCACTATCTCAGACTCATAAGAATTATGTATGTGGTAGTTATAAGGGCTTTGATCTCATGTAGGAACATTACAAGGCATGTGTGGCAAGGTGCCAGTACTGGGCTAAGGTCTGGAAGCTGGAATTCAGGAAGACTCCTTGCTCCTTCATCTCCTAGACTACAGGGTTAAACATGAGAGGTCTGTCCTGCTCCAGTGCAGCAGTCCAGAGGGTGTGATGGAAGCAGGTAAGGGCCATATAGAGTGAGTCACCTACATAGGGTGAACCAGTATGACCAGGACAGAATAGCAAAACCACCAGAACCCAACCTGCTGGCATACATATAACCCAACCCCACTGGCACACACACAGAAACTCCACCCACTCCACACACATGCTCACAGTATAACAATAACTTTGGGGCATGTTGTAATCATCTTGGGTCCAAAATAATCACTGGCCAGGTGTTGTGCCTGGATTATCAACCTGATATTTTATGGCTATTGTACTGAGGTGCGGTGAGGTGCCACCTGGCACAGGCCGTCACTGCCCTCTTCAGCTGTGCAAACAGGAGACCCTGACATTCCTGGCACCTGAGTGGAGCCTGATGGGCAGTGGGTGGGACACACGTGGGTGGCCTCGCTCTGCAACTACTTTCCCACACTGTGAAATGCAGCTTCCGTGGAACCAAGAAACGTGGTGAAATTCTGTAAGGCAAATTTCCCCAAGGCTATCAGAGGTACCTGATATAGATTCTCTGGAAGGAGAAGTGCACATATTGTGGGCATTCATTTACACACATGTACACACACAAACACAACACACACAGATACACAAGCATGCCACCATGTACACAGCTCCCTTGAAATGAGATAGATGGTCTTCTGGTTGTTTTGTTCTAATACATTTGCAAAGATGTCAACCCAGGACACATCCCCAAGGCCAGTCACCGAAGCTGTGGATCAACCACTCACCTCTCTGAGTCAAAGTAGGAGTCTATGTAGGAATGTGGGGCACCTGCCACAGCGAAGTTACTGCTTCCAGTGTCCACAAGAATCTGTAGCTTTTGTTTTTTTAAGGAGAAAAGAAATGGAAAGCTTCATGTTATTTGAAGAAGCACAAAGCACAACAATTTATTGATTGGCAAAAGCTAATCTCCCTACTGATTTAGGGAGAAATGTTGTTAGAAAACGACATATAAAATTATATGAAAAACCCAACACAGCTCAGGAAGATGCTGCTACAACAGAGCCAAGTGGGATCTGCCTCAGATACATGGAAACCTTCCAAACACGTCTGTTAAACAAGGGGTGGAGGATTTCAAGTCACACAGCCAGTTCCTTAGTCACTCATGGGATTTTGCTCAGGTTCATCCCTGGCTGGGAAATTCTTGCTTTTCCAACTATTTCTTGGAGTATCAGATCACCATGGTCTCTGTTCCCCAGGAACCTCCCTCACTATTGGTTTCTCCTTCATCTCCCTGCTGAGTCCCCAAAGACACTCATCACAGTATCTCCTTACTAGAATCCATTTTCATTTCATGGGTGTTTTGCCTGAATGTATGTAAATGCACCACATGTGTGCCTACTATCCGTGGAGTTCAGAGCCCCTGGAACTGGAGTTACAGAGGGTTGTGAACTGCGGTGTGGGTGCTGGGAACTGAAACTGGGTTCTCTGCAAGACCAGTCTATGCTGATGACCACTGAGATTTGCTCCAGCAAACAGCTTTATTAAAGTCTAATTTTGGTGTAATGAAAAGGATGTATGCAATCCCGGGACTACAGGGGCTGGAGAAGAAGGATGGTGGATTGGAAGCTAATCTGGGCTACACAGTGAGACCCTGTCTCTAACAAACAAAAACTCAAGTTGCCAGAGGTCTGATGGTGAGTTTGGGCAGGATCTACACCCAAGCCAAGACATCTGTAAAACCCCGATTATCCCTAAATGTCCATTTGTTCTCTTTGCCCTCTTCCCTGGGAGATGGCACTTTCTGTCTTCTATTAGAACAGGTGGGCTTCATCTGTTCTTTAGCATTCTGTAACCATGTGGTTTCTTCTATTTTGGCTCAGCTGCTTTTGAGATTTTTAGATGCTGTGGAATATCTGCTCTTTTCTATCACCAGGCTGTCCATCACTTGTCTCTGCTTCTCCTGATGGGCAGCTGAGGTACCTCTAGCTTCAGGCTGTTAGATAAGGCTGCCTGGACATTCCTGTCTTTTGGTAGATGTGTTTCTATTTCTCTTGGGAATAACACGTGCTGGGTCATAGGGTAGATGCCTTTAAATAAAAAGCCACGAGAACAGTTCCCCAGCATAAATGTAGGAGTTGTACCCCCATGGCAATGTGCTATGGTCCACTGGGCTCATGTGCTCCATGCCCCCCAATAAAAGTTAGTGGCCCTGGTCTTTTTATGTTTAGCCATCTAGTGGGTGCGGGATGCTATGTAATTTGCAGCTACCTGGTGGCTAATGACACTAGGATGTTGCCCTGTATGTTAATCGTTTGACTCATCTCTCCAGTAAACACTGGTCCCCAGAGGGTGGAGTGTGCCATTCACCCTCTCACACCTCACATCTATCCTCAGTCCAGACATGGACCAGCTGTCTAGTGAATAAACACAGACTTTAGAAACAAGCACAGAATAAATATTAAAGGTTTTAACATCAGAGTTTAGCAAACTACAGACAATGCTATTAGGTAGGTGAGTTTTAAATCCAAGACCACTCATCAACAATTTAACTCCTACCAGCCCCTCAGCTTGGCCAGGCCCAGAACTTTCTCTCACTTGACTCAGTTTCCCTACCTTCTCCTGGACCCCAGGATGCCACCCTTGCTGGGTTTTCCTCCTACTGACCCTCTCTCCACTTCACTGTCTGGCATCCTTTTGAATCTACTGGAGTTCGCACTCTGCCTCTCAGACCCTCAGGGACCCTAGGGGGTTTTCACCTGCTTGCAGTGTGTTGATGACCCTCAGGTTCACCTGCCCAACATCCCTGTCCCTGTGAGTGGAGCAATGTTTAGAAATGGGTCAGATGTGATCAAGTTAAGACAAAATCATTAGGTAGGGCCCTAATGCAGCACGACTGCATTCACTGTGAGAGGAAAATTCTCATAAAGACCGAGGCACAGGGGATGCCATGTGATGGCAGAGATAGGGTGGCCCAGGAGCTAGAAGAGGCAAGGCAGATCTACCCTTTGCATCAGAAGGAATGGTCCTTTCAACACCTTGATTTCAGATGTTTAGTCTCTTGAACTCAGAAAATACTCCTGGTGTTTTAAGCCACATAGTTTGTGGTACTGTGTGGTAGCACCCAGGAAGTAAATATACTTGACCAGAAAGGAATCTGCCAGATTCACAGGACTTTGCCATCTCAGTTAACATAGTCCTGTAACATTTGCTGAGGATAAACCTTCAATGTCTTCCCTCTCTCTTAGTCCCTACATTCCACCCAGCACCCAGTCCTATTGCATCCACCTTCTGGTTCCACCCACACCTGCCCACTTTGTACCACTTCCATGGGGACCATGGTGGCCCATGTCATTGCCACCTCTTGTCTTTTCCTAACCGTTGTCCCCACCTTCTTCCTCACTCTGCTCCCAGCCAGACTGCCCCTGGCCTGTTAAGTCGGAGCCTGTCACTTCTCTGTTCTTCTACCATTATCAGAGTCTCAATGCAAGTCCTTATGATGAACAACAAGCTGGTCTCCGGTAAGCCTTACCTCATGCCACACCAGCCCTGCTGACCATCAGGTTGTCCCCGGAACCCACAATCCTGTGTACCCATATGACATCACACTGCTTCTCTCAAGACATGTTGATGACACCTTCTTAATGGTGTGGTCCTGGCCACCCCTTTGAGCTTCCATCCCTGTCTCTGCATGGTCCACCCTGTTCCCTTTCCTCATTCCTGCTCCTATGGCACTACTGGTCATGTCCAGCCCCATAGCTGCGGAAAGATGTTCTATAACATCCACTGCATGTCCAGTGCCCTACAATAACATGTTCAGCCTCTCAAAAGCTCTCCAAGAACTATGACATCATCACCCTCATGTCACAGGTGGGGAAACAGGTACAGAGAGTCTGACCTTCTCAGTTATAGTGGCAGAATCGACGTTAGAGCCCAGCCAGTGTGACCCCAAATGTATTCTTAACCAACCAACTTCTCTCTAGGCATAGGAGCTCAGTGACTCACTCCATCCTGACAGTCTCATCGGCCTTTCATCTCAGGACTTTCTCTCAATGACAAGGCCTTTTGACATTGCCTCCCATTATGTCTCCAATGTACAGAAAAGAGCCAGGCACCAAGTAGTCACTTGAATAGTCACTGAATGGACAGTTCATTTATTCTCAAAGACACTAACTTTGCCCTTGGTACAGAGGTGAGACGAACTGAGAAAAATAAGCATGCTGGCCATGGAAATAGTCTAAGCATAGAAAGCGGTCGAGCTCGAACTCTGCAGCGATGGTCTGGGGCTGCTGGCTTCTCTCGCCTCTAGAGTTGTTTGGATTGATTTCAGATAGGAAAGAATGCAAAATAGATGTGTGCACATGAAATTCAATTCTTCAAGCCAAAGTTTGATGTTCACCAGTCCCAAGTCCCAAGCTACAATAGGGATTGTATCTGAGTGTCTCATAAACATACAATGGCCACCAAATAAATATCCTTTTATACTCAGTTGGTTCTGGCATCTAAGGCACTTGGTTCCAGGACCCTCTGCAGATATTAAAAAATCCACAGAGGCTCGAGTCAAGAAATAAAATGCTATACAACGGGCACAGGACCTATATACAACCCCATATACTTTATTTATTTACATTTTATTTATTTATTTAGAAACAGGGTCTCACTCTATAGCCCTGGCTATCCTGGAACTCACTATGCAAACCAAGTGGGTCTCAAACTCATAGAAATCCACCTGTCTCTGCCTCCTGAATGCTGAGATAAAAGGCATCTGCCACCAGACCTGGCCTCAAATACTTCAAATGGCTTATTTACAGTATCTAGCACAATGTCAGTTCTATGAAAATAGGTATGTTGTTTATGGAATAATGACAAGAAGTCTGTGTGTGGTCAACCCAAACAAAATCTGTGTGTGTACATGTGTGTGTGTATCTGTGAACATGTATGTGTGTATACATATATATATTATATATAACATATATGTGAACATGTTTGTGTGTACATGTGTATATAAGTGAACATGTGTGGAGGCCAGAGGTTAATGTCTGGTGTCTTCCTCAATTGTTTTCTGGTTTAGTTTTTGAGACAGAGTCTCTCACTGAACCTGGAGTGCCTTAATTCAGCTAGGCTGGCTGAGTAATCAGCTCCAGGGATTACTTGTTTCCACTATCCACATCCAAGGGCTGGAGTTATTAATGTGCACTACTGTGCCCAGGTTTTCATGTGGGTGTGACAGATCCAAACTTAGGTCCTCATGCCTGCATGGGACTTTATCAACCTAGCCATCTCTTTAGTCCTACATTTAAAAAAAATTGTGTGTGTGTCTGTGTACATACACTTTGTGGTAGTTTGAATAGGAATGGCCCCTGTAGGTCAGTGTATTTGAATGCTTGGTCATTAGGAGTGGTGCTACTTCACAGGAATTAGGAGGCGTGGCCTTGTTGGAGGACGTGTGTCAGTGGGAGTGGACTTTGGGGTTTCAAATGCCCAAGCCAGGTCCAGTCTCTCCTTCTGTCTCTGCCTGCTGCCTGTAGATCCAGATGCATAGTTCTCAGCTACTCTCCAGCACCATGTCTGCCTGCATGTCACCGTGCTTCCTGCCATGATGACAATGGACTAAACCTCTGAGCTGTAAGCCAGCCTCAATTAAATGCTTTCTTCTATAAGAGTTGCCGTGGTCATTGTGTCTCTTCACAGCCACAGAGTACTGACTAAGACACACTTCCTTGTGAGTTTTGCTCCTCTCCTCCCATCATGTGGGTATCAGGGAGTGAACTCAGGTTGCCATGTTTGGCAACGGGAACTCTTACTTCTGTAGAGCCATCCTACTGGCTCCTGGGTTTACTTTTGAGAGCTGTATTTCCCACAATGGCTGAGGCATCC